GCACCCATGGCCCCCCGGCGGCCCGCCAGCTCGCCCATGGAGCTGCAGCAATGGGCGACGCCGTCGGCCACCCAGACCACTACGGGGACACCGCGCAGGCCCCTCTCCTCGAGGTTCCCTCGGACGCTGGCGAATGAAAAGTCCACGGGCGCCCTCTTCGGACTGGGCTCCTCCACGAGGGCGCCGACGCGTCTGGTAGCCGCCACTGTCTTGCAAGTGCTGGCCTTCTCCACCATGCCCTCGTCTCAGCCTCGCCCGGAAGGAACGCGTCGAGTCGATCTCCACGGGGCCCGAAAAGACCTCCTTGCACCTCGCGGCCGCCGCCCTCGGAACAGGCGACAGGGTTCGCTCCGTCGGGTGATCGACCTCGGCGGAGCTGGGTTGATCTTCCTCGCGGCATTCGTCGGCCCCCATCTGCGGCATGAGACGCGCCACTGCTCGTGAGAAAGCGAGGATCATCAGCAAGATCGGTACTACGTAGTCTGATTCATCCTAATCATCCCGGGCAGTGCCAGCCGTGGCTGCAGCGGGCGTAGCACAGGACGGCAAGACCAGTTGCTTGGATGCCACCACCGCCGTCGACATCCACGATCTTGTCGCGCGCATCGTAGACCTGGAAGCCCTCGCCAACGGAATCGCCGCGCGCGTAGTCCTGACCAGCAGGACTCGGCTCGAGGCTTGCTGCTGCCGATGGGCGGCGGGATGTTTTACTTATTAGAGCCAGGGAAAACAAGACAACGCCGCCGATGCAAATAGCGCGGTGAGGCCGTCTGTCACAATAGCCTCCGCGCGAGCCTAAGTCAAAATAGTCAATCGGCAAGCTCGACGCACTGCCGAGGAACTGGCACCACGATGCGGAAAACCTCCTGTCATGTCAGCACATGATTCGATGCCTCGATTCAGCGCGATCTGCAATGTCAGGCTTTCCGTGACCACGACCAGCTTCCACCTCGCCGCCTGGATCTCCACGTCCTTGAACGCGACGCCGCCGCCCGAGTAGAGCTCGCACAGGAATTGCCTCAGGAACTTGCCGCGCCCGTCGCCTCGCTGACGCTGCAAGCCTCGGCCGCCAGCGCGGACCGCGCCACGCGCTTGACACGGTAGCTGGCCCAGACCAGCGGGGCCTGCTTGTCGTAGCGCCCGATGATCACGCTCCCCGGGTCGTTCGCCAGGAACAAGACAGCACCTGCCTGGCTCTTCTCGCCCACGACGCTCGCGCAAGAGGGGCCCCCGCAGGCCAGAACCGTCGCGCCATTGAGCCTCGCGGCGCCCTTCCTGAAGCAGAGAGCGTGCTCGATCGCGCCCTTGACATACTCCACCAGCTTGCCAGTGGCGATCAGGTCCGCCACGGCGTGCTCGGACGTTCGCTTCGCCAAACAGTTCCGTTCGAAAGCGACGTCTGGCCTCGAGCAGTGGGAGAGCCACTGCAGCTGCCCCTTTGCACTCCTGAGGGCACGCAGCTCCTCCTGGGGGACTCGCTCCTCGGCCGACCACGCCCGGGCCAGACTGACGTCGATGCAACCCAGTGCCTCCACCGCCTTCGCCTGGGAGCCTCGGATAGCCTCGTCGCCGATCACCATCTGCACCCCGCAGTATTCGAAGGAGGCATCGCGCTCCACCATGTGCAGATATTTGCGCAGATCCTCCAGGACTCTTGCCAGAATCAAGGCACTCGGTCTTGCCAGCCACCAGCAAGTCGTCGACACGGCTGCGGAGCCACATCTTGAGCTCGCCTCCGCCCACGAACCTGTGCACCCCGCGCCCCGGCCTCGACCCCTGGATGGTCTTCTCGCCACGTAGGCGCAAAAGTGTTTTTACCAGGCCCAGCTTGCGTCTATGGTGCCATATCTCGAGCCCTGGGCGTAGTAGACCTTCCCTGTGTCCGTTGGGCGCCGCTTGGGCATGAGAATACACGAAAGCCAAGCTACCCCCTCCGCCTGAGGGTACGCCGTCTTCGCGTCACATGAGCAGCCAATCCAGCCATCCTGGAACATGAAAACGGGATGACGACCCACCTGGTACCGACGCGGCGCCGTTCTTCAGGTGGCGCTGCACCTCGTGGCCGGGGCATCTCCCAGCGGCTCCGAAAGCCGCCCACGTCTCCCACTCGGCCTCCATGGAGGCCATCAGCTCGCGGCTGTCGCTGCCAGAGAGACACTCGATATCGACCTCCTTGGACCTCGCCGCCTTCGTCAAGTAGCAGCCTCGAACACCCGCGACTGTCAGGGCCAGGGCGCGCCTCGTGTCCTTCTTATGCGGGGGCTGGCCGCACTGACCACGGTGGGCTTTGGGCCGACGTCACAGTCCAGCAAGCTTCTTGATGGAGTGGGGGACGTCGTCGAAGTGGTCGTAGGGAGACGTCTGCGCCAGCCGGAGGCGGGCCTGGCAACGTTTCGCGTTCTTCCACGGTCGCGGACTGTGGGGCCCTCCTCGAAGGCAAGAAATTATCGGACGGCGTCTCGTCTACCTTCTGCTGAGACTCGGCGTCCGTTTAGGGTATTTCCGGCTCCACGACGCCCTAAAACTCGTCATCGATGTGGTCGCTCTCGGCCTTCGGCAATTGCGGAGTCTCCTCCACGGCCACGGTGCTGCAATCGCTGGCGACCTCCTCTAAAGGCCCGTCTGGCTTAGTAAAGGCCCTTCTGGCTCAGGATGCTGAGGTTGATGTGGCTCAGCAGGTAGAGGTAAAAGCTCAGGTAGTTCAGGTCGGTGCTGGAGCTGACTCTCAGGCGATTCTGGTACTGGTATATGTTCAAGTGGTTTTCGATATCGTTCCACACCTCTGTCGTCACGAGGACGGGGGTCAGCATTCAGCGCGGGGCGCAGCTCAGCCGCCTTGCGGTCCAAATCGATGGCCCTGCGCCAACGCCCGCCAACGGGGCCGTAAAGCTTCAACGTCCCGTCTGGCTGCTGCTGCGACGGCGTTGCCACGGCCTGCTGCGGCGGCGGCGCCACGGCGTGCTCGTCTATCGACATGTCTACGTAGGCCTCGTCCGGGCCGAAGTTCGCGGGCGGCGGCTCGGCGATGACCGGGCTCTCGGTGTCAACCTCCATCTCGACGTCTTGGTCCTCTGGTGCTGGCGACCACCAGGCTCTGCTTCTTCCCAGCGGGCTTTGGGTCCACCGCGCGCTCGAAGATGTCCTTCCAGTCGACCACCTCTGAGGAGTGGGCCGCTCTCACGTGCCTCGTCGACGTCTTGATCGTGAGGCTGCGGAGGGCCAGCCAGAGGTCCTTGGTTCCATGCCCAATCACGACCTCTGGGCCGCGCCTTCTCTCAGCCAAGTGTTTCTTCGCCCTGGCCTTCCCCAGCACGCGCTAGCAGATCTTGTCGCCCATGCGGCAGGTCGACGCCGCTAGACTTGTCGTCGCAGCGCGCAACTGCTCCCCGGCCTCAGCCGCTCCCAGGCGTCCTCAGCCCTGGCGCCGCGCTCCGCAGCCTCCAGCGGGAGTCATGTTGCCGCCTCCCCCGTCGCCTCCCCGCAAGGGCGAGCAGCCCGGCCGTGCCCACTGCCTCCTCTGCTGCTCTGCCGCGCCATCCTGCAGGCCCGTGCGCCACCTCGTCGGAGCTGAGAGGCTCGCCCCCCCAGGCCTGCGGCACAGCTGGCGTCGAGCCTTGCCTCTGCGCCGCGCGGCAGCAGCCGGCTGATGCCCGTCGCCACGAATCTGGGCGCCCGCACTGGACGCAAAAAAAGGTGTAGAATGTGTACAGTGCCCAACAACAAACGGGTGGTCCAAAACCGACACTGGCCGCTGTTGGGCAGGTGGCGCTTTGCCTCTCAATGAACCAGCTTCCGCGGCGGCGCGGACAGCGAGTCCTGCTCAACATGAATACGCACTGCTGTTGGGCATCGTACCCATCCTGTCCGTGCCCATGTCGATCGTCCCGAACGAATGCCTCGATCACTGTCGGCAGCAACACCTCGGGCGCCGGGCTGAACTGCCAGCCCCCCGCGCCACGTCCAGGCCTCGCCAGTGCGGCCGGACGACGGCGCCGGTAGGCGCCGGGCACCGCGCACAATCGGCCCGCGGCCTCCGGCGATGGCCGCGCCTGTGCGGTCCCCCGCCCCGAGAGGCCAGCTGGGCACCTGGAGCCTTCAAGGCCCCGAGAAAAACTTGAGCCCAGATGGGCGGCGGAGAGGAGGACGAAGACAGGAGAAGACGAGCACCCCCAACCCGCTCCAGCCACTCCAACATCTTGTGCTCTGGTTCGCTCGGATTCCTGCTTTTCATCCTGGGCCGTGCTTGGGCAGCCCGGGAGGGCGGGAGGATCTGTCTGTCTGTAGCCTTGCATCCCTGACAGACGCGTGGGCAGCATTCGGTCAAAAAGTTCAGCTTGAACGTGAATATGCACAAAGGCACAGGATGCTGGGAAGCATGCCCTGATTCGTATCGTATCGGAGGCTCACGCCCAAGAGGGCAGCAGGGAGGGGCCCGAAACGGGCCCCGCCATCCCTCCCTCCCTCCCTCCCTGGCCCATATCCGGGGGGCACCTTTCTCCTCCTCCTCCTCCTCCTCCTCCTCCTCCTCCTCCTCCTCCTCCTCCTCCTCATCATCATCATCATCATCATCATCATCATCATCATCATCATCATCATCATCATCATCATCATCATCATCATCATCATCATCATCATCATCATCATCATCATCATCATCATCATCCATCATCTCATCATCATCATCATCATCATCATCATCATCATCATCAGCATCATCCTCATCCTCATCCTCATCCTCATCCTCATCCTCATCCTCATCCTCATCCTCATCAGCATCAGCGTCATCATCATCATCATCATCATCATCATCATCATCATCATCATCATCATCATCATCATCATCATCATCATCATCATCATCATCATCATCATCATCATCATCCGCCTCCTCCTCCTCCTCCTCCTCCTCCTCCTCCTCCTCCCCTCCTCCTCCTCCCCCGGCCCTCCTGCGACAGGCCTGGCGGCGATGGGGGGGGGGGGGGGGGGGGCGAACGGCGAGCCTGCCCCTCGGTGCGATGCTCGAAGCCTCCCGCCGCGACGTCGTAGGGGGCCGAGTCGTTGTCGTACAGCTCGTCGCTGCCCTGGCGCCAGGGGCGTTCGAGGCCTCTCGGAGGCTGCCTCGACGTGCTTCGAGGGTCTCTGGCTCCGTCTTCTTCGGGCAGCTGCACCCCGTCGGGGGCCCGCCGGGGGCCCAGGGATCCCCTCGAGCGTCGGCCCAAGACCCGATCTGTGGCTTTCCCGACCTCCCCCCTCCTGTTCCTTTTCCTCCGCCTCCTTTTCTTTTTCCTTCTCCTTCCCCTCCGCCTCCCTCTAACGCTTCCTCGTCACAGGCCTCATCGTCGTCGTCATCCGCCTCTTCCTCGTCCATTTGCCCCTCCTTATCATCCCTCTCCTCCTCACATTCCTGCTCGCCCTGCCATTCCTCCTGAACGACCTCGTCGTCGCCACGATCAATCACTACAACTGGTCACGCAAAACCATCACTATCATAATCCCCAACGACACCATCAACACCTATCCACCACCGCCGCCACTGCCGTCGCGAGGCAAGACCGCCACAACCATGTTCGCCATCCTCGTCGCCATAATCCCCGTTGCCTTCGTCTTCATCGTCCCCATCATCACCACTGGCTTCCACACTCGTCACATCCTGCTGAGATTTCTCTGCCGTGCTGCTGCAGTGAACGAGGCAATGGCGGCGACTTCGCAGAGAGCAGGGGGCGCGACCCCTCGGTCGGGGTTCATTTGGCGGGTAACAGAAGGCCGCCAACCTGGCATAAGCGGAATGCGGTTACATGAGGGATTGACGGGGATCGGCGAGCGGGAGTGGGGAAAGCAAGAAAGTAAGAGGGAGGAGAAAGGGGGATGGGATGGAAATGAGAGGACAGGGGTGTTCAGGGGGGGCCACAAAGGAAGGGGGGACGGGGGAAGCCACGGGACGGGTAGCAGGAGGGACAGGGGTATGTGGGGCAAGACAGAGGGTGACAGATATGTAGGGTATAGATAAATCTGGCGTCATGGAATGAGCACTCTCACTCTGGCCAGTGTTCACTGGGGTTCTGAAATGTGTTACGCAAGGGAACGAGGACACCGCATTATCAACGGGTTGCCCTGGTCTGCAACATCGGGAGAGGCGGCGGTCTGCAGTTGCATCTGCTCTCTACATCCACTCCCAACGACTGGTTGCTCAGAGGGCTTCGTACCAGTGCTTGCACAAGGGACTTGGCTTGGTGTTGAAACCTGTTGGGCGCCGTCGGGATCATCATGGGCGCCTCGTGCGCTGGCTGGGTAAACTGGGGCCAGTGGGCGCGTCGTGCGCGCGCCGTGCGCTGGCCTGGTGTTCAGGGTTTTCGCCTCGTGGGCGCCCATGGGGACCTCGTGCCTCGTGGGCGGCTCGTGCCTTGCGTGGCATAGACTGCACCCTATAGTGCCATCCACGCCGGCATCGACCCCCCCACACCCCAGCCTTCTCCTGCAACGAAATCTGCCAACCTCGTCCTCGTCGTCGTCGTCGTCGTCGTCGCCGCCAGTCCCAAGGAAATTGAGCAGCAAGGAAAAGAAACGTGGTAGTTCAGGCGAATCCCTCCCCTTCTTCCCCTCCCTGACGGGGGCGGGGTGGGGGGGCAGAGGGGTGAGGGGGGGGGGGGCCCGGGTCAGAACACCGCCCCGCCCCGGGATCTCGGCGGGTCCCGGGGGGGATCCAGGTTGGGTCGCCGCCAGCAGGGGTCCTTGGGGAGGTCCCGCCTGCAGGGTCGGCGGCACCAGCCGTGAGGCCTCCGAAATGCAATGCTGTGTCCATGCGTTGATTTGCGTGCGATTTGTCACAGGCTCTATCAAACAGCACAGCGCATGCCACGTGTGAAATCATTCGACATCCACTGGCTTCGTTAGTTTCATACAGAAAGATGCACAGCACCCAAAACATGAAAACTGGTTTATCGAAAAGCTGCCGGATTTCTTGGCGCGCGCACGCACTCGCGGAAATCATGAGACACATCGTTGCTATATACGTATATATATATATATATATATATATATATGCGTACTGCCAAACTGTCAAAAAAACCTGGCGGGCCACACGCGCGCGCATGTGAACAACATTCAGCCACGATCGCGCACCCGACAGCCGTCGAACAATATCACGCGCCCTTGTCCACACGTCTCAAGAGTAAGCAGCGATCAAATTTACGCAGAGCGTCAGCAAGACCACTCTCCGACGTCTTAGCTTGGCGGCAGCTCGCCCTATGCAGTACAGTCGCAAACAGCGGCACCGCTTCCTGAGTCGAAAAAGTGCTATGCAATCCAGACCGAACCACACGAAGCTGGGCGGCCAACAGACGACGTGGCCGTCCCTGGCAGCAGTGGGCAATCGAAGTGTACAGAATGGCTTGCTGTTCCCGAGTTTTGCTCAGTAGTTCACCTCCTCCCTCCCCCTCCCACGGAGGAGCCGGCGCACCACCATGACGATCGAGAGCATGGACATCGAAATTTTACTGGTGAAGGCTCCTGTGAAGCATTTGGGCCGCATGATAATTTTCCGGGATGCTGGCGCAACAGAGGTTGATTACTGGATTCGGCAGGGCTAGAAAGCTTTCATTTCGAATAAGGCGGAGCTAACTAACCTGGGCTTCTCCTTGAAGTCGAGACTGCGCTTATTTGAAGAAGTGGTGACACCGGCTGTAGCGTATGGAGCTGCCAGTTGGGTTTTGACAGCTGAAGTGGGGCACACATTGCAAAAACGGCACAATGTCGCATGCTGCGAATGCTCTGTGACTCCGGGCGGCGACGCAAGAAACAGCAGGAAGACCACAAACTGAGGAGGCATGATGCACCGGACGAGAGCGAAAGCGATGAGGACGTCCATGTTGATGCTGTTCGGGAAAACTCTGCAGCCATGGATATACTGGCTGGATAAAACAAGTTACTCATCACATCGAGGATCCTATGAGCGAGCTAAACACCGATTGCTGGGAGGTGGCGGCGAAACGCAAGGAGTTGAAAATATGCTGCTGGGGTTTCAAAGGTGCCCACTGACAGATGGGACGTGAAAATTATCAAATGGCTGCCTCAATCCGAGCCCCAAGCGCGGGGGAGGTTGCAGGGGAGACCTCGGGAACGCTGGATTGACGACGTGGCCAGCTGTGCGCGAGCAGCTGGATATGACACCCCTCATGGGGACTGGACTACGCACGCTTGTAACGCGTAGACGCGGGCGAACCTGGAGGACAAGTTCGTGTAAGAGCACGTCGAGGCACCGCGGTGCCACCCAGCCACGCCCCTCGCAGGGCTGGGCGCTGCCGAGACTGGATGCCGTTCGTTCGTTCGTTCGTCCACCTCTTCCTCCTCCGCCTCCTCCTACTGGGCTGTTTAGTCCAACCCATTGAAGGACCAACCGTGTAATGATGACTGCTGCCGATGAGTTAGTCACAGCGGATCATGACAGGAGCCACGAGTGGCTTTGCCGACAAGCCCACGCGTCCCTGAGTACGCATGGCCTTGTTTGAGCCCCCCACACACACACGCTCTTCTTCGCGCGCGCGGAACGCGTCATTTCTGCGAACGTGAACCTTCCCGTCCTCCTCACTAGCACCATCGCCAGCATGATCGCGAGCGTTATCATTGCCATGGTCATCATCATCATCATCATCATCATCATCATCATCAGCATCAGCATCAGCATCAGCATCAGCATCATCATCATCATCATCATCATCATCATCATCACCATCATCATTACCGTCACTGTCATCATCACCACCGTCGCCACGATCGCGATCGTTACCACTACCGTCGTCACCATCATGATCATAATCAGCAGCATCATCACCGTTAGCAACATTGATGTCGTCGCCCTCGTCACCATCACCGCCGAAAGCATAATACTAATGATGGTGATAAGAAATAGTATAAGAGAGGATTATGGTAACGATAAAGATAATAGCAATACTGATATCAACAACAATAAACAGGATCCTGATAATGAGAATACGAGCGATTATAATTAGCCTGATACAAACAAGACTACCGATAACAATAATGAGAAGAAGAAGAAGAAGAGAATAATCATCAGCATCATCACCACCACCATCATCACCATCGTCATCACCAACACCATCATCGCCATCATCATAATTATCAGCATCATCATCATCATCGCCGTCGTCGTCGTCATCGTCGTCATCGTCGGCGTCGTCGTCGTGTATGCACGAGCAGGATCCGCGCGTGACTGCGCCGCTTGAGACTCGCGAACGCAAGCTCCAATAGGTAATGGCCTGGCGGCCTGCATGAATTCTGCCGATAGGTTGCGGGTAGGAGAGCTGGATGTTTGCACGAGCTGTGAAGCTGACGATTCCAAATCAAGTATTGAGTCTGGTCTGTAACATGTCATAAGACCCAATCCCCACCCACCCTGGAGACGTCGCAATTTGCATGGAATCGCACCAACCCAGCCAAAAGCGTATCGAACTGACCCCCCCCCTCGGCACCCGTGTCAAATAATCCCACGCGGCGCCCGTGCGCTGCTCTAGGTGGTTTTCGAAAAAATCCGTTGCAGACAACGCATTACGGGTCACATACGCGCGCCGCCGCGCGCGCACGTCAAAATTCTTCAAAACCCGTTGGCTTCATCAGAAGGATCACGACTCTTCTGTCGGCGGCGACTTGGAGCCACGACGCGGTCAAACCATGGCGTGGGGTACACGGCAGACGAATGCGGCACAAGGAAGGGGAAAGATAGGCGCGCAGGGAGCGGAGGCCGCACAAAGAACATGCAGTGAAGAAAGATTAAACCATGGCTCACCAAAATTTGCTCAAGACCATTGAGTCTTCAGGATAATGACACTATCCAAAAATCTGCGAGCGCGTGCACTCGCTGAAATCTCAGGACTACCATTAACTGCTCGCAATGCTGTCAAACGATACCACGCAGGCCACTTGCGCACGCATATCGAAAACGTTCAAGCATAATCAACAATCACCGATTGCCCCACCATTTCAGCACAAAAGTGCTCAACACGCATACGGAATGTCAGCGACATTACATTCGAAAATGTCTGGATCTTTCTCATCATATCATCATACTCATGAGAATATTAGCTATCATCATCGACATTGCCATCATTGCCGTCGTTAGCATCGTCATCATCATCATCATCATCATCATCATCATCATCATCATCATCATCATTATCATCATCATCATCATCATCATCATCATCATCATCATCATCATCATCATCATCATCATCATCGACATCATCATCATCATCATCATCATCATCATCATCATCATCATCATCATCATCATCATCATCATCGTCGATATTATCACCGCCGCAGTCGCCGTCGTCATCGTCGATGTCGTCGCCCATGTCAGATTTCTACTTTCGCACCCGTCCTCGTCTTCCTCACCAGCACAATCGTAATCATCATCGCCAGCGTCGACGTTGCCACTGCCATTGTCATCACCATCAGCTTCATCACCATCACCATCGCAGTCGTCGCTGCCATCGTCCTGACAACCGTGATCAACATAACCATCACCAGCGTAATCGTCACCGTTGTTGTCGCCGACCAGTGGGTTCTGCCCACAATTTGTGGGTAGGTGGGTGGGTGGAATTTTTTCGCGAGCAGTGGAGGTGACGGCTTCAGCATGGACAAGTGAATTGCACCACGTAGACTCCTTCTGCCACAGGATATGAGACTCTATCCCCCGACCCCACGGGCCCACCCCACCGAGGACTGGAAGGTCCGGGGCCCTCGTGCGCAGTTT